AACGTCATCCTCATTCAAATCCGCGAGGATTTCAGCGCGCGAGCGGGTTGAGACATGACTGATGATAGTCGCCATGCCCCCACTGTCTCCAATTATGCCATGTGACGATGACGAACCTTCTGACGCTATAGACAGGGGTGGTGTGGAAGGTCGGGTAGATGCAAGATCGTCAGAGCCATTAGTAATTGAATTGGCAACTAAGCGACATGACATGCGTTGCGAGGAATGGTGTGACGAACGGTCGGAGACGGACTGCGCCTTGGCGCTGTTCTCTGCGACCTTTGTGAGTGATGATGCATCGGAGGTAGAGTTACCAAGACGAGGCTTGCAAGGACGTTTAACTGGGTTAAATAGCTCACCGCCCATAGATGTCGGGCGTGCATGTTTCGTAGTGAATCGCCGCAGAGGAGGGGTAACAGACGACGGCCGGAGGCGGAGAGGAGAAACGTCGCTCATTGTTATTCGACGTGGGAATGAGTGGTCAAGAGTAAGCCTGCACTTAAGGTTGAGGTGAAAAGATGTCCTCGTGGGGGACTGATTGAAAAAGAGGTCAAGATTAGCACGCCGTCGTGCCTCGTTGTTGAGGGTTGGAGGCAAGCCGAGATTCTCCTCTTCTTGACCCCTCTTTCGATCCGCCTTTAGTACGGCAATTTGCTGAGTCAGCACCTTAACCTCCCTGTCTATCGCCAATTGCCGCTTCTCCTCCATCCACCGCTCTTGCTGCAGTGAGACATAGGTGTCGGGGTCGGTATCTCTGTCCGCTAGGCGCAACTTAAGCTTCGATGCACGTTCCCGAGACTCTTGGGCACGTGTACTCAGGGCTGTGCTAGCTCGTTGCAGAGCCCAGATCTGGAGTTCCAGGGGAGAACGTTCCTCTGAGCTACTCTCCAAGGCACTGGCAAGGGCTTGTTCGGCGAGGGAGTAGCGACGGTTGCGATGGCTCGCGACCTTGGAAGATCCACACGTAGAGTTAGTGCGCCTGAGGTGGCTTGTTGTAGGATTAGGCCTGCCGAAAGTGAGGCTGGTATTAGGTGTACTGCGCATGGCGTGCTCAGCGTGAATCATATCGCATTAGAAAGTGGAAACATACTAGATCGAATGGGCTGAGATATATGGAGAGATAGAATCGCTGGGATTTACAGTAGTGTTGGTGCACGCCTGTGAGTGTTAGATGGACATATGGTTACCTGGATAGGGACAAGAAACACGCACTGCAAGGGCAGACTTCATTGTTGCACGGCTGCTGGTATCGATTCGCAATGGTGGTGGGTGGAGATAGTGATTGCTGTGCGGCTCGGGTGCATCAAGAAGTTCATCGACTCGGTCGAGAATCTTTCGACCAATCATGAGTAGAAATTATGGAGTAAGAGCGATAAAAAGTCACAAGAAAAGAGGGAGCACGGTGGGGCTAGAGAGCGATATTTGTGTGCTGAATATAGGCTGTGCAGTTGCTCCAGGGAGGAAGGTTTGCGGAAGCCAGCAGGCAAAGTGCAAGATGACGCGCCGGAATCACGGTGAACTTGAGAACGAGGCTCACACGGCGGAGTTGGAACTCTTGGCAAGTACTGTCGCAGTGACAACAAGTAAGACCGCTTTGAACACAACTTCCTCTCAATTAACGCGGGGAGGATTGTACCTCGATTTCGCCTGGTCTTAACACCGTAGCTAACAATCCGAAGAGAAATTTAATTTCTCTGAGATGAAGCTTCATCGTGTCGCTAAACACGGTTCGCATTGGTCATGTGCTTTCCAAAATTACTCACGTGATGACCTCCCTCTGACCAGGATTCCAGGAAGCCTGAGGAAGGACGATGGACAAAGTACTCGATGTCACAACCGAGTTACAAAGACATTACAAGGTTCTATCCACCCATAAGTACATATATGACACATATGTATCAAGATCTCCCAAGCACGAGATCCTTCAGTCCTTTACTGAGTTTCATAACCTTTCCCTTCATATTCCCCTTCATCCGTGACCGACCCATCTCTTTGAAGAGGTAGTCACCTGGTTCATCAGGTGCCTCTTCTCGTCGCCATCGCGCCAGATTCATCCGCATTTCGGTCTCCCCGCTCAACGAGAACCCGGAGTACGGGCTTGCAGGGATAACCTGGCCAGGTAGAACCATCGACATCGGCCGCGATTGCCGCGCGTAGTGTAGACACGACCGTTCGCCACCGTCAAGGGACTTGGTTTCTCGTGGCTCATAGTCGAATTGCGATGGGATCGGCGATGGCGTGCGAGGAACGGACATGGATAGGGCTGGACTGCTGGGACGTGACATATTTTTCCGTATCGCGGAATAGTATGGTCGACTTGGATGACCCAGCCGAACTGGAGGAGGATCGATCTCACGAGAAGGAGTGAACGATAGTACATGTGACTGTCGTGCTTCTATTGCGGACGCTGGTGGAATGTCAATACTATCTCGCAAAGGAGACGAGGGTCGGGAGCGCGAGTGAAGTGAGAGTGAAGATTTGCGTTTGAGCAGCGTCATTCGCTTCTTTCTGCGTAGTGTGCGTGTGGGGGAGCACTGTGAGGATGAGATGGAGAGTGTGGAGTTTATCTGTGAGGCGTCTGACTTGTACATGCAATCTGTGGCGCGCGTCGCGTCCGATGTTTCTATCAATACAGAAGTCGCAGAATTCATGGTTCGTATCGTTAGTGGGTTAATCTGTCCTTCACATTCAACCTTTTGGCACGAGTAATACGAGGTGCGAATATGTGTAGGTGGAGTTGAGACGCAAAGGGCAGGAAGCCTCCTGCGGTGGCGTGTCGAGTTCCTCTTCAGACCCTGTCTGTCAGAAGCGTGCTTGTATTGTTCTGCCTGAGGTTCAGGAGTAGCATCCGTGAAGAAAGACGTTGGGAATAACGGCTGCGAAATGCGGGAAAGCAACAAAAGGGTCAACAGCACATCCTTCTCCCGACGTACATATGGACAAGAAGCGGAATTTAAGTACCGTTATCGAGGTTGCCCTGACGACTTTGTTGTGGGCATTAACATTGGCCACTTCTTTTTTGACATCCGCATCGCTGGCGACGTCAGCGAAAGTGACAACACTGTGGCTCACTCCCCCCTCGTTATGGCCTAGGTCCCGCTCCCGATGACACGTCTCACCGTGAAGGGGCCTCAGTACTGTCGTAATGCCAGGAACGCCCATCTCGGGGTGTCCCGCGGAAAACGAAAGCTCGCCCTGAGGGGTGACAGGCCCAGCGCTTGAGCTCCTCGAGTCGGCAGACAGCCTTCTTGGCGGCTCGCATTTGACC